CTCTCTCTCTCTCTCTCTCTCTCTCTCTCTCTCTCTCTCTCTCTCTCCCTCTCTCTCCCTCTCTCTCTCTCTCTCTCTCTCACCAGTCCTCATCGTCTGGGATGGTGGCCAGCGGCGGGTTGAGGCAGTAGATGTGGAACGCCATGTTACACTCGTCACACAGCAGCTGCATGTGGGCATCCTGCTTCCCGCCGCACACACAGCAGGAGCAGAAGCGACACTCCGCTTCAGGGTCAGCCTTGCAGTGCTTACACTCCGGCCCGCTCTTCCCTAGAAGAAGGAAACATTCACACACGCATGCACACTTGAAGATGGTCTTGAGGTTTTCTTAAGATATGTTGCTCTAAAATATACCTTCAAAAACAAACTTGGACACGTTTTGCCACTATTTTCACTGCGCGTGTTTGAGTGTGTGCAGTCCGGTGCATACGTTTAAATTGTCCATCTGAAGCCGAAAGTGCACGAGCTCCGGGTGTCTCCACCTGGTAGATTTCATCCAGAAAATGAACTTTACAATCCCCGATTACATCTCCAGGACCCCTGGATGGAGGGCGAGAGACAAGAGAGAGAAAAGGAGAGAGAGAGACCAAATGATGGAGAGCACAAGAAAAAGAAAACCAGAGAGGAAGGTGAAAAGATGTGTTATTGAGATGGAGAGGAAAGTCACACACAGAAACATTACACTTTATTTTGCTAAGCAACAAAAACAATAATTGGCTAAACAGCAATCATCCCCCCCCTATGCCCAACACATCACCCTCCCACCTAAGAAGGAAGATCCTCACCCCAGGAGGATCTTGACTCTGAGCTCCTTGTTGGTGCGGGAGGCTTGGTTGACGGTCTGAACCACGGCGTCGAACCAGAAGCCCCTCTCATCCGGTGTCTCCATATTGTAGTTGACCATCACATGCATGCCCACCTGGAGCTCGTCCCACCGCAGAAGGGTCCTGGCGCGTGGCCTCACATGCACCGGCCGCATCTCCACCACACCGTTCTCTGGGTAGCTGGAGAAGAAAGAAGAGGAGAGAGAGGGAAGGGGGGGGGTTAAGGTGTATGATTGATTTTCACATTGCAGTCTTATCTACTAAGAATACAGTCCTTTGGAGGTTAATGGTTACAGACACGTGGTGAACTTCCTTTCATAGAAATTGAATGTGTGCACACACATTTTTCACCTTGCCCACATGCTATTGGGAATTGAAAGGATTCACTTATTTATACATAAGCTACATGGGCCATGGGAAGGGTTGAGCTACCGCTGAGCACTTGACATCTATTATATTTTAAAGGTTGAAAAAAATAAAATCTTGAGAGCAAAATCCAACAGTGTAAAAAAAAAAAAGAAGAAGTTTCTCAGCAAGAAGCGGCTATTCAGAACAGTGTGTCCTGTAAAAACAGATGGATGGGAATAGAAGCTATTTAACAGCCCAATGCATTAATTCACTGTTCCAATGATAAGTGATATAAGCCTCTGTGCAGGAACATGCAAGTCCCTACAGGCACAGAGGGGCAAACACTGTCATACAATTGGATTTTGCACAGAAAGCCAAATGCTGATTTTAATAATATCATTACAGATCTATATCAGGTTACTCAAAAGTGAATGTAGCCCTCTGATTGGCCTTCATCTGTCCACAGTAGAATACATGAGACATTCACACACCACAGTTTTCTGACTGGGTTTTTGGAGCAAAGGATTGTGGGGGATTTTCCCTACTATGACCTCACTTCACCTCCCCATTAATCTACACGGAAAATAGATGTAAAACAGCAACCTCGCTTCCATTGGCAAAACACTTACAAGTTATTTTCCAAGTCAAATCAGTACAAGGACAGAGCACAGAGGCGTCATTTCTAATCACCGTACCGTGTAAACAAAGTCAAACCTTTACAAAAACGAGGAAACGCCAGTCTGGTTTGATCAGGCTCGAGTTATCTACCTGCTGAGCATAATTTCTGGGAACTGCAGCAGAGCGAGGCAAGGTGACTAAAGATCAGCCAGGATCAACAAATACACGAATAAAAAATAAATCCACATAGATTCACTGTTTTAGATATTTAATGTGGTCTGTTTTGAAGCTTTGGCTCAAATTTGGCTGATAAGACTACATACGTACCTGCATCATAGGATAAAAGCAACAGTATTTTGTAGGGATGTAACCCAAAAGGAACCGCAGAATCCCATTTGTTTGGGAAATGTGAGCTTATTAGCATCAGCAGATGAAGAAAGGAGGAAATCCTAATATGGCATTTTGTTTAAAAATCTAAATTAAACCTTTTACCTCACACAAATTGATTGACAGGTCTTCCAAAAGGAATATTTCAACATTTTGCAAGTCCGGGCGTCTGGATGTCAGCCTGAGGTTGCCAGCAACCAACAGAGACTCCAGAGAGTTACTGCACTTGGCCAAGACATAGTGTGGCACATAACCCCCTGTCCTGTGAAACCCACAATGTGCTGTTTTCACACCTTGGTTTTTGGACAGATTAAACAAGCCAGTGAGCTTTATAGGTGTGAGAAGGCAGATTTTGTTACATTTGGACGGAGCCAAGCTAGCCTTTTCCCCCCTTGCTTCTCTGTGCTAAGCTAAGCTAGCTAGCTTCATACTTATCACCCAGACATTAGAGTGGACTGGACAACAAATACACATGTGTGTTGTATGTTTCCGATTGTGAAAAGGTTTTTTTTTGCTTTTTAAAAACGTTGGATGTCCGTAAGGAAAACCGTAGCTCATTCTGTGCAACTCGAAAACGTTCCTGCCGAGCCTAAAGAAAATCTGAACAAGTGTGAAAAGTCTTCTTGTCTAGCAAACCTGGAGCGGAGGTATGAGCTTAATTGCGCAGGTTTCCTGCCTGCCAATCATCATTAACTGTAAGGATCATGCCTGACTCACAGACATGAATTTACAGCTCGCATGCCAATAGCTGGAATTATGCTGACAGATGAACTATGTGTTAGCCCTGAAGTTTAACTACACAACAGCCTGCACGCTCCGGTCCACTCACACAGCTGGAAGTGACGAGGTAAGCAGAGAACAGTGTGCATGAGAGAGCAGTTTCTCTCTCTGTGAGTGTGTGTGTGTGTGTGTTTGAGGGAAAGTTGAGGCTAAAATGGGTACTTTCTCAGACAGACTGCACTGAACCAATGATTTTATCCAGTCCAATTATGCACCACTTATGCTTTACTTTCTTACAGACGAGACTATGCTGCATATCTTAAGCCATTGTAAATCGGCAGGAGAGGCCCCACAGAGGCAAGACTGTAAAAGCAGCACACAACTAGCATACTCCCAGGAAGACGAGGCTGGGGCACGGTGCAGGGATTTCCTTTTTTAGGCCCATGGGATTACTGAGGTTTTTGGGTATAGGGTAGGGTATGGGTGGGGGGGGGGCAACACAAACACACACAGACACACACTAACATGCACGTATGTATAGGCGCACACACACGCGCACATACACAGCCAAGGAATATCAACTTTGGAGCACAATGGGACTCAGCATGAACAGAAGGGGAACACAGAGCAACACAAGTACCAGAGTTTAAGACCACACAAGCTCTCACTGTCTGTACTCTTGCACACTGGCCCTACGTCAGACCCGTGAGCATCCACCAACGGAGGCCCTTCGATAAATTAATAACAATATAAAATACAATACTGCAAGCTGAAACAGCTTCCAAAGCCTGATGAGACATGGAATAGATAACATTTCATTATGTCAGTGAGGACGTTTAGGGACAGACACTTTGACCTACACAACGTAGGATTTAATTCCTTTCATACACATGTAACAGGCAACAGAATCACATAATGGATGCATTACAATCATCTTAATGGGGAAACATGACTGTCCTCTCGCAGTCTCGGCTCAATTAATCGGAGGCCCTGAAATGCGATACGTGCTTTAGAAAGCCGGTGCCAGTTTTGGCTCGGTTGTTCTTTCGTGCATGACACAACATGCATGTACGTTGTAGTAAT